TCTTGAGAATATCAATACAAGGCCAAATTATCATTCTTGGAATTATTATAAATACAATTTTGGAATTTATGATGATGATCCACAAGTTGTAACTCTTAACAGAAATGATTATTGTAAGTTATGTAAAATATATTTGAATTTTATTTATATTGTAGTATAGATACTACTTTAATAGAATAAAGATTCTCATCATTTTTTTTCATTTTCTACAGTTGAAAATGTATTGAATTCGGATAAAATGTGGTTGGTAAATTTTTATTCGCCGATGTGTAGCTTTTGTCATCATTTAGCACCAATTTGGCGAAAGATAGCTGAAGAACTTGAAGGAGTTATAAAAGTAGGAGCAGTTAATTGCGAAGATGATTTTCAACTTTGTCATCAAATTGGAATAGCAGCTTATCCTTCTTTATTTTATATTCCAAAGGTATTTATTTTACATGCCATTTAAACTACTTATCATTTAGTTTCTGCATTACGTTTATCATACTAAAATATATTATAATTCCAGAATTCAACAAATGGAAGACTATATACAGGAGAGAGAACGCATAAAGCAATAATAAATTTTGTATTAAATAAGTTGGATATTAATATTCCTGAGATAAGTTCATCAGATTGGAAACGTTTTATAGAGAATAATGAACTTATTAAAAAACCCACACTTGTACTTATTTACAAAAATAACAAAGAATGTTTAACATCTAATGATCTTCTTAAAGTTGGTGCTATTTTTGTAAGTACGATCAATACGATCAAAATAATTAATATATGTTAATTATAATTAATGATATATATCATTTAATGCATAGTAATATATATTATGATTATTCCAGGATAAAACATTAAATATTCGATTACTTCACTGCAAGGAAAATGAATGCAACGATATTTCTGATAGCACTTGTGCAATACTTTTGTCAATGAAAAATGAACAAACCTGGGTGCCGATATTATTTGAGAATGTAGATAATATAAAAGATTTAGTAGAAAAAGTTTTAGAACAATTACCGGAACCAAAGAGTCTTAGTGACGATGAATTTGAGGTAATAAAAGGTTATTTCATAATGTGATTTAGAAAACAAATTCATATTTAATATAATTTTATGTAATAAATCTTTAATTTCGATTTGTATGTAGGAAATAAGAAGACATCTTAGAAAAAAGCCAGGGATAGGTTGGCTTGTATGTTTTTATATAGGACATTCAACTGAATTAGATATAATACTAAAGAAACTCCCTAATATTATTAATACTATTAATCTAGGTATTATTTCCATATACATCTATTGTTTTATATTTCATATTTAAATCGAATATTTTTCAACTTATTTAAAATTTATTTTTTATTTATAATTTATAGGTAAAATTAATTGTGGAAGGTACGGACATCTTTGCAATATATTAAACATAAACCGGTATCCAATGTGGGGTGTTCTTAAGTCTGGAGGAGCATTTGAATTAAGTCATGGAAAAAATACAATTCATGATATCGCAAAATTTACTACAAGTAGTATTAAAGCTGAAAACCTATGGGCTTTATCTGCCGATAAAGTATTATCTATATTACAGAGAAGTAATGGTAAATTATATTTAAAATTAAACAGGAATAGAATACATATTTGTAGATGTATTCTTTTAATTTTTATTTTTTTATTTTAGCTAAAGAAGTTTGGTTTCTTGATTGGTATGCACCATGGTGTCCTCCATGTATGCAATTTTTACCAGAACTTCGTAAGGCATCTATGCAATTTAATAAATCAGTAGTACATTTTGGTACGATTGATTGCACTGTACATTCTACAATTTGTCGACAATACAATATACGTTCTTATCCAACTGCGATGCTTATAAATGGAAGTAAAACACATCAATTTACAGCACAAAAGACAGCAGCTAATATAATACAATTTATAAATGACATACAAAATCCGTCAGGTAAAAAATACTAAGTATAATACTTATAATATATTATGAATATCCACATCTTTAATTTAATTATTTTTATATAGTTATACAAATATCTGCTAAGAATTTTCATCAATATCTTGATAATGAAAAAGATAAGACATTATGGGTAATTGATTATTTTGTTGGATGGTGTGCACCTTGTCAAAATTTAGCATCAGAATGGACTGCTGTTGCTAAAATTTTACGTATTCTACCCTTTGTAAAAATAGGCAGTATTGATTGTGAGTCAGAAAATGCTTTATGTAGGTCACAAGAAATTGGAAGCTATCCTACTATACGATTGTATCCAAAAAAACGTAAACATTTGAATAAAGCCATGTAAGTGTAAACAATGGTTGTCTGATATTTTATAATATATTCGTTTTGGACTTTAAAAGTTATAATCAAAGGTCACAAATAATAAATATCTTAATTTTAGAAAATACGATGGATCACATAACATGTTGCACATATTAAAATGGATATCTAAATATTTTCCAACAAAGGTGTATGATTTAGATCCAAGCAGTTTACGAAAAAAAGTTTTTTCTGGAAAGAATGTGTGGCTTGTAGATTTTTTTGCACCTTGGTGCGATCATTGTCAAACATTAGATCCACATATTTCAATTACTGCACAGGTATTGATATATCGTTACGTTTGTGCATATAATATTATGTTATATTATTATTTTGTATCATATTGTCCATATTATTTCAAAAATTATGAAATATGGATATGAGGCTAATTTTCAGAAATATATTTTTTATTTCCAGTTATTTAACAATAGAGTACATTTCGGACGAGTTAATTGCAATCTTTATCCGACACAGTGTTCACAAGCAGGCGTGAAAGCGTATCCGACATTAATTATTTACGATCGAAAGTATGACATAAAGGATATTGACAAAGGTTTTAAAATTATGGCAACATCGTCTGAAATGATTAAAGAAAAAGTATTAAATTTTCTAAATTCCAACAATAACAATAAACATGATGAATTATAACGATAAATACAATATAAACAATGTGTAATTGATAAAAAATTAAGTTACATCAAGATAAATGTAAAAAAATGTATATTTTTTTAAATAGCAATAATATTTTCAATCATTGTAGACCAACGTAAGCAATATATATACATATATATATAGTATATGTTTCTATATGTGTATATTTAATATGGGCATTTTATAATTGTATACATGTATATGTGTATATAATTTATTGAACACTATTTACAATGCAATCCAACATCCCTCTATGAAATACTTGTATATTTGATATATATCTTTACTGTGATATTTTTAAAATAGTTTTTATAAAAATATATACTGTAGTATTATATATTCTTTTATATATTCTTTTTTCATAAATAATATTTTATTAATTTTATTATACAGGTTATATGTTGTGATAGACAATATAACTAAAAATTAAGTATCTTCTTGCACAGAAACGAATTAAAAATATAGAATAAATGTTTTTTTAAGCAGTTATAATAACGAGTACTTTAACTACATAGCTCTACTGATGTTGATTATTATAATTTTATATTAGAAATAGTTCATATGTTTTACCAAAATGAAATCTATTGACATAATTAGAAATTTATAAGATAAAGGAAACGGGAGAGAAAAAATATTTTTGAATGAAAGCAAACAATAGTTTTGTCTGTATGAATACATGTATATAGCATATATGCAGAATAACATATACATATCTTTTATATAATTTTATTTAGATAATTCACATACTTTTATATAGTGGCTTTACTTATATTTTGTACAGTGCTTTTCATTGCACATTTTAAATACATGTATCAGATTTATATAAGAATAAACATATTAATAATATTTACAAAAGTGAATATTCAAATGAAAAATAAGACACTTTCGGAGGTCGAGTATAACAATTTTTTTTTTAAATCCATATATTTTCTTAAATCGTGTAAATTTGTTCTTTTAACTTATGTAAGCAAAAAATCAACTATAATAATAGAGATATTTTAAAACTCTATTGTGTCAAACTTAAGATTTATCTGAACAATGAAAATTGAACAAATTTTATATATGGAATGTGTTTTAAAAGTATTTAATTCTATTTGTAATATTCTGATTAGAAATTGTATATTTATGTGTCCATTGTAATAAATCTATTTAACTATTATGTTATATTTATATATCACAAAATTATAAAACGCGTAGGCAGTGTAAATATAAGAACACCAACCTGTGTGTGTGTATATATATTTATAATATATTATTTATATTTATTATTTTAATTATTTTTTTTTTTTATTATCTTTTATGTATATATGATAGCTTAATATATATAAGTTTTGAATATTAAAATATAAATAGCAGAAAAATATTTTTTTTTTTAATTTAATGTATTCATTTTAAATAACTCAATTAAAATAAGAAATAATATAGATAACTATTCCATGAATAAGCCACATTTTTTTACTGATTTTTACAGTCTTAATGTCATATCTTTGGTTGGTGTGGTAAAACAAATTCATGTTAACTATACATATCAATAAATGATAATAGATAAAATGCATTAAGGTAATCTTGTAATATAATTTTATAAAATCTTTTTATGTATATTATAGTCTTTTATATCTATTATATCTTTTTCCAAAACTTGTAATTTAACCAGATATAAATAAAGTAAAAAATAGAACAATTGTTTGACCAATATATATTCAAATTTTATGGAAACATTAAATCAAAGTGTTTTAACATTCAAAATATGTGTAATGCAAAATATGAGTAAATACAGATAAATGCATAAATACATAAATAATAAGTGAATGGCAATAGCAAGTTATATAGTTTTATAAAGGAAATCTATAGAGAAACTGCTATTATTTGCTACAAGCAGTGATTATATTTACGATTAGTTACGTAGTATTGATATACCACATTAAATATGTCTATAAATAGTAACTCATAAAAGGAAAAAGTTTAAGAATTTTTATATTTTTCTATATATATATACTGCTTAAAATCTTCATATGTGTTATTTAATACCAATATGTTGTTGGATCAGTTTGTTTTTTTTTTTATTACAGTATGCTCTTGATTATCCAGATAAATGTAATTTATTTATTTATATATAACAAATATTAAAGAAATATTATGTGTATTCTTGCTCTTACAAATTAACTTTATTTGTAATACAATAAATTAATTAAATTTATTTGTAATACAATAAATTAATTAAATTTATTTGTAGTACAATAAATTAATTAAATTAAATATTATCAGAGAAAGTTTTTTAAATAAAATGAAGTTAAAAGTGCGCAAAATTGCTTTTTACACGGATGCATGGATAAACAAGACTTTACTGTATATTATATTTCATTTCTTTTGATTACTACCTTTTTTATATTTGCACAAAATATTTTTAAAATATATTATGTTTTTAAAATATATAAATTTAAAAGTATTTAAAACTTGAATAGTATTATACATATTACTAATGAATTTGTAATAGATTTCTACAAATTCCTAAATTTTTAAAAATATTTTCTATCGTTTGGTTAAAGAAAAGGATATCTTATTTTTTTTATAAATAAAAAATTTTGAGAACGTATGCATATTCTTATTACATGAATGCCTTCAAGAAATTATAGCATAATTGACAATAAATTTTAAAAATATTCTGTGCTGCTAATACAGTAATATAAAAATTTTCAAAATATTAGTAACAATAGTGTAGAAATTTTATTTTGTGTTGTTTTTATAAGCACATGTGCGTGTTTATGTATAATAAATATAATTTTACATATAATATAACAATACATAAAAATATACAAATAAGGTAGCACATTTCACATAATGTGATAATGCTGCTACTGATATTTCTAAATCATTTGCCATTTATAACACTTTAAATTATTATGCATCTCAATATACCTATATGATTATAAGGCTATTAATAGAGCGTTTATCAATTTATGTGCTTTTAAATAATGTCACAATATTGTTATATTATTAATGATGTATCAAAATTTATGGATTGCACTATCATTTATAAAAATTAGATATAATTGAACATGGCTTGTCAGTTTCTTTATATAATATATATACATTTTACTTTCATTATAATTATGTTATGAGATTTTCTTAATCTGAGAAATCATTTAAACAATATTCTTTTTATATTTATATTTTTATAAAAATAATTTATTATTTCTATTTACCTTCAGTCCATACTGAAAATCTCAATTAATAGGTATTATGCCAAATATTTACCATTTACAATTAAGCTCTATATCGCACATCTTTTTTTTACAATTATATAAATATTCTTTATAATCATTGAGAAGCAAGCACAATAATCTGTAATTATTCATTAAAATAAATGTTAAAATTTTAAATGAAATAAATATTTAAATATAAATATTTATAAAACGTACCAGTAAAGTGCTGTGTATAGTTTGATCATAACTTAAATATCTCGTTTCGAAGGTGGTATTAAATGATCAGGAAGTTCTGCTGGAAGATCATAACCTTCAAGTTTAACATTAATTAAATGCATAGCCAATGCAAATTCATCCGAGTCTAAAAGCCCATCTTTATCAATATCAGATAATTTCCAGATTTTTCCTAACATACTGTTTGGCAATTTGGATTTTATCATTTCAGATTTTGCAGCTATAAATAAAATTTAATGTAAATAAATATTGATATCTCTCTCTCTCTCTCTCTCTCTCTCTCTCTCTCTCTCTCTTATTCACTCACTCACTGTGCATAAGATTATATAAGAGATTAGTGTATATAAATTTATTAATAACGTCCATGAATTAAAATTGACAACTATATTTTCTAATAATATTTAAGCATTATTACTTTGTATTACTTATATCATATCGTTCTAACAATCTTTTATCAATTCTTTCAAAGCTATTCGAAAAAGTGTTGCTGCAATGTTGCTGCAAAAACCTGACCAACTAAACTAAACATAATACCAGGACATTAATTTAGGTTCAGAAAACGGCACTCCAACAGATTTACAGATTAGTCTTATAAGACCTAAAAGGAAAAAGATACTGTTTTGTTACGTTCTTCGACCTTAAACAAGCATTTGACAAACCCTAGCATTTGATATTCTGTATAAGCTACAAAAGTACTATCATATTTTCTCTCTATATGTATATCTAATAGGAAATTCAAAGTTTAATTTCAAGAAGCAATTACCCAATTAACTCTAGAATTCCACACGGAAACGTGCTTGAGCATATCTTCTACCTTTTTTTTTTTTTTTTTTATATATATAAAATTGACCCATACTGATATTAGTACATATAGTTTTTTTTAAATCTTATTATTAAAAAAAAAAAAAAAAAAGAGCGAACAATAAATAAAAGTCAAGTCTATTACTTTACCTGCTCCTGTAATCTTTCCATCAGTTGGACCAAGTGTTTCAAAAATACCATCATATTTATATCTATCTTTATTAACAATCCACTCAGGTTCACCTGCACCAGCATCGATACCTTCACCTCTTTTGTATCCAAATGGACTAATTTGATCTTCGACACCTTCAAATGCACCACCTATGTATATTAAATGTTCATGTTACACATGGAAAATATGTTTATTTAATTTTTTTTGAAGCCGCAAATATTTTTTCTTTGACCTTTCAATTTTTCATTTAAAATAAGAATTCTTATAGAAAATTTTATATAATTTTACTTTTAATTTACTTATGGAATTATATCACGAACATTGAACTCTCGTTATATTTTTATAGATAATTCATGAAAACGAAAAAAAAATTAAGATAAGATATGAAATAAAATAATCTCTTATTTCTAGCATTGATATGATAGATCATATGACTCACTTTTTTTATATAATTATTTAATTATATAAAAAAAATGATTCCTGTTTTAAATTCCTTCTTTTATAAATTTTTGTTTAATTATGTTATTAATGAAATATTTCTTTAACGGATATCAATGTATACCTTTAATTAATGGTTCTGACATAGCAGTTATTTCTTCATGTGGTATCATAGCCATTAATTTTGCAATGTCTTCTGCAAGCATTTTATCTACTACTTCCAATAATTTAATTTTTATTGGGTTAAATTTACTAAAGTCATGATGCATTAAACACTCCTGCATTTTTCGAAGATCTGGGAAATCTCCAGGGGAAATATGTTGTTCTCTTTGGATTTGATCATAAATTTGACCTAAATTTTTGATAAGTTCCTTTTTTTTTGAATCTTTACCAAACATACTTGGCATATCCTTTCTCAATGCACTGATTATGTATGCATGCACCTATAATTCAAGAAACATATTAAGTCTAATAAAACTATCTTTAAGAAAATATATCTTTATAAAATGATATGAAACATCATTCTTTACCTTTGCTAAACGAGCTCGTTTTATTAAATCATTAAGTTTTCTTAATGCTGCATTTCTTGGTAATGATTGCATATCTCTAAATAAATCTTGCTCTTCATCTTCAAATAATCTGGAAAAAAAAACTTAAAATAAATAGCCTAATAAGATAAGTAAAATCAATAAGATAAAATAAAAGATTTTACCGTCTATTAACATCGTATCTTAGCGGTTGATCCCAAAATGAACCAATATAAACTCTAGCAACTTCCGGAGTTTGCAATACTTTTCCTAAAGACCACATAAGTGCGCCATATACTCTCATTAATTGTTGATGATCTATCATATCTGCTTTATTAAGAACTATTCTAATTTTATCATCATGCCCTCTTAGCGCTTCTATAGATCTTCTAAATTCATCAGAGATATCGAGTTTATGTGCATCAAATAATAGTATAATTCTGTCTACTCTTTCTGCAAACCATTCTAAGACACCAGTGAAATCATAACCTCTGTCTACCTGTAAATATAATTAAAAAAAAAGCAATATATTTTCATTAAGACTATCATAATATTAGGAAATTATTTTTTATACAAAGATACATACTCGTTGTTTCTCCCCTGAAAGAATTCCAGGTGTATCAACTATAGATATTCCTTTGAGAACCGGAGATGCAACAGTAGAACATTGAAATCTATTAAGGAATGCATTACCGAATTTGGAAAGTGGTCGAAATTGTTTATGTGGATCAACAACTAAAGCATTTCCAGGAATAACACCTTCCTTTTCATCATACATAACAGCAATAAAGCGATCTGTTGTAGGTTCAGGACCAATTCTTATTCCAGGAAAGTCACGTTCTAACAAATACTTAATAAACGTAGTTTTTCCAGTGGAATATTGTCCTACTAAAAGGATCATAGGTTTTGCATCGAAATCTGGATCATCCAATTGAGGCGAATGAAAGTCATGAAACTGATAATGTTGTTCCAAGGGTAACAATTTAGCTTTGTAGATTTTTTTAAGACCTTCGGTAACATTCTCAAAGAGATCTTGTTTGCCATTTTCATCTCGACTGAGCCAACTAAACATATTGACGATTCACAATATATTCTGAAATAATATCATATTATTTCTTTTTAATATCAATACTATTGTAACTGTACATTATTGATTAATAATGGTAGATATGAAATCTACAAGATTATATTACATATTTTTAAAGTTTGAAAAATTAATTATTAAAAAGTTTTATAAATATTTGTTATATATAACAATGAAAACAAATAATATCCATGTGAAAGCGAAGACAAGAAATTTTCGTAAGAACAAATCAGTTAATCATGAATATAGAGAAACCAATGGAACTAACCTGTCTTATGTTAGTTGTACACGTACTGACGATCTTAAATCGATCGATGCAAATAAATGGTCGTCCTTTTCCTATCAAAAAAGATTGAACTATTAATGTTGTATTATATATATATACTATTTTTTAACGTACACTTTGCTTTTGATGTCTCTTTTCCACGATCTTGAATGCCGAACAATGAGATTTGGATAAATTAAAAAAGATATTGATAATTTTTGGCTTATCCTATTTTAACGAAACATTTAACGTTCATAGATGACGATAACGATTCACAAACGATGAATAGGCGGGCTTGCTGATAATGATGCGATATATTGAGCTGTTTCCCCGTATTAAAACGTACAAATATAATGGTGAAGTGACGACGTGTCGTTCTCGTATGCACCAGCGCAAAGTCACTACTAAGTGACAAGATCTAAATGTGTGTGTATGTATATATATATATAATATATATATATATATATATATATATATATATATATATATATATACATAGTATATATACACTACGAGTTACCACGATGAGATTATATAGTGTCTATAAAGGAATAAGAAACGAACGTATTGCGATTGCATTTAAATGTTACATTTTATGAAACGTTCGTACATTATTCTGTTTTCAATTAATAATGATAATAAATAATAATTAATTAATTAACAATATTCATGATCGAATAAAAAGAAGTTCCTTCTATGAAAAATTTATAGACAATACTGCTGTTCTAGATTAAGTTTCTATTAGAGACATTAAACTCTCCTACAAATTAAATTACTCGTGCAATTCATTACTTCATTTATCTTTTCGCTTATTTCGCTTATTTTATTTATATATTTTTGTTATGAATGTTTATCGACGATTTATATTCTATTATTCTATAATTATTTATAGGAATTTTGTAAATATTTATTAAAAAAGAAATATTTTTTATCTATTCAGAATAATTCTCACGTTATTAAAAAATGTTTTAAAATGGCGCGTAATAGATATTTTCAACGAATTTTTATCGATTTGATAATTTGATCTTTTATTATTTTATAATTGTTAATACGAATTTTGTAAATGTTTATTAAAAAGAAAATGCCCCTTTGCATATTTTGAATAAGTTGCGTGTTAAAAAATATTTTGAAGAATTGATCGAATTTTTGAAAAATATAAATATATAAAATTATATAACTTAAAGAATTGATAAATTGATGAAGTTTTTTGCTAGTGTTAATAATCTTTTCCTCTTCTTATTATACCACGAATATCTATTATTACGAGGTCAGAATTAAGTACATTAAAGAGCTTAGTAGAAACGTCTTCATTTACAAAAGATCTATATAATGTCAAAGGTCAGTCGGTCAATCGCAAATCTGTCTTTAAGAAATATTTATTCTCAAATGACTTTATCACAAGTGTTTTGAAAACGTTTCTTTTACGATCATCAGTCAAACTCTGAACAGAATTACTCTGTTTTGTTATATATATATATATATATATAAATATATAAAAATATATATATATATATATATAAAAATATATATATATATATATATAAAAATATATATATATATGTATGTATGAATGATGTAAGTATGCATGTATGCATGTAAGTAGTATGTATGTATGTAAGTATGCATGTATGTATGTAAGTAGTATGTATGTATGTATGTATGTATGTATGTATGTATGTATGTATGTATGTATGTATGTATGTATGTATGTATGTATGTATGTATGTATGTATGTATGTATGTATGTATGTATGTATGTATGTATGTATGTATGTATGTATGTATGTATGTATGTATGTATGTATGTATGTATGTATGTATGTATGTATGTATGTATGTATGTATGTATGTATGTATGTATGTATGTATGTATGTATGTATGTATGTATGTATGAATATTGAGATAAAACAAATAGTTTTTTAATGGTACGAATTTGTTTATCTTAAATCAAAATAAATATATATGCAATTGAATGAAATAATTAAAATAATAAAATATTTAAATAAATAACTCCAATAAATATATTCATGATAAATGAATAAATCCAATAGTGAAATAAATGAAAGATATATCTAATAACATTAATTTATTATATGTTTTATTTATTATTGAAATAAGAACGTCGGTCTATGATCTCTATGAGCTTTTATTAATATCATTAAGCTCATTATTAGCCTATTGAAAAGAAGAGTTGGTATATAATTCTTTAATAAAAGGATCCACCGATTAGGGCCTTTCAAGAAAGTTATCTATCTCATATGAGTCAGAGAAAAGAGAGAGAAAGAGAAAGAGAAAGAGAAAGAGAAAGAGAAAGAGAAAGAGAAAGAGAAAGAGAAAAAAAGAGAGAGAGAGAGAGAGAGAGAGAGAGAGAGAGAGAGAGAGAGAGAAAATTGTAGAAGAGATATGAACCTTCCTATATGTTCTTACGTTATGCATTCTGATAAAACAATTATTTTGGAATGTGCAACGCACTTTTCATGAATAAAAACGATATCTATTTAATTTCAATGAAATATAGCAACAGATGTTTGAACAAAGACAAATTCAAAGTTTGATAGACAGTACTTTGACGAATGGGAGCTCTCGCACTTGCACTATAATCCTTGGTGTTATTACGCAATGATATATGCGAGCGTTTCAGTGTCATTCGTTGCGTAAGTAAAGCGGACACATCCTGGTTAAACGATCTTGTGTCAATTTACCGGTTTTAACGAGATTATCTATTAAAGTTGGAGTTATTTTGAGCATTCGTTAGATGTAAAGATAATGTATCATGTTTCTTTTTTTCTATGAAAAAGTCACATTAAAAAAATTAATTTTCATCTAAAAACGATATTTATGCACAATATTATACGATTGATTACACATATGTATTGTATGATTTTACTAAATGTATCTTATATCAAATAATTGGTTAAATATATTTATATGAAATAATTATATTAACAATGTTAGTTTTACAATACAGTTATTAAATTTAACAATTTTTTATATATAAAAATGAGAGAATAATATTTAAATCTATTCTCTTTTATATTCAATCTGGAGACTATAATCGATTACATAAATACGAATTGGTATGAAATTTCTTAAGTATTTATAAAATACATTCATTATCCCAATTAATAGGTATTACGTCTTTCCATACGTTCAATAAATTTGACAACAAACAGGGTTGCTCACAATTAGGTATATTTAAGAAATGCGGCTTGATTGATTCCGTACTATTCAAATAAAACACCTATGAAAATAAACGTCAAATCTTTGTATTATTTTGTTTTAAATTGTCTTAAAAAAATAATAAATAAAATAATATATATAATAAAATAAAATATATATAAAAAAAAATAAAGTAAAATATATATATATATATATATATAAAATAAAAGAAATTTTATTTTATATATATAGAGTTACTTCTATAAGAAAGAATAGTTACCTTCACTGCTCGCTCCTTTTCAGAATACGAATGAAGTTCAAAAATAATCGTAGCCCCATAGTCTGGAAAAAATAATTCATTCGTGAATCCCATAGTTCTTAAAAGATTTACCAAAGTTACATCATGAACAGAATAGAAGTATGCTTTTTTCGAATCTTTCTTAATTTGCGATTCTTGCATATGGTTTACAATTTCTTTCAGTAAGGGTCCTAGAAAAAAAAATATGTTAATGATTAATCGTTTGTGCATGCAATTGACCTTTTATTTATGAAATTACCTCCATGCAAACGTCGTAGCAAAGTGTTGCTTGTGAGTAAAGTCAAGGCACGAGCTGCGATGTTTCTCATTTCGTCGTTATAAAATTTTTTCGTCCAATTTGGAAGTTCTAAGCCGTTTTTAACTTGGATGTCAAGTATATTATACAAAAACTCTATATCTGTAATAGTTTTCATTGGCTGCTGAGTATGGATTGTTAATTCTTTGTAATAATTTTCCAATTCCACATCAGATTTTATCGATTCGTTAACATAAGCATTCGCTAATTCTTGCTTTAATTTTGGACAAGGAGCCTTAACCACTATTACCTGTTATAATAATTTATTAATTGATCTGTGTCATTCGATCGATAAATGACGATTCTAACTAAAAATAATACGGTATGATTGAAAACCGGGAAGTACAGATACAATCTTTTCTTATCTTTAATATTAATTAAAAATATCATGAAAGCATGAGTTAATTTGTATTATTGGATGAACTTATTAATTAGTATGCATAATAATCCCCTTCCTTTTCCGTTTAGTTTTATTAACATATATAATAAGAATGATAAGACAAACCTTATCCATACTTCTAGGTGTTGTATGAACTGGAATTGGATGCCATTTTAAATTAGGTGCAAATATTTGATCAGGTGTTGGTGGATACAATCCAGCGAGTAATGCTTGTGCAGACATGATACAACGATCGGAATCACTGCTGCGTATAAATGAAATCGTACTATTGTAATTCAAACCGACTGTAGTACTATACATTTTACGAATCCGTTTTCCAATATTATAAAGTTGACGCATTCCTTTCTGAAATCAAATATATCTATATACATTAGCCGTACTTTTATATGCTTAATATGTACTGATGTGTAAAAACATATGTATTTCGTAAAATTTCAAAAGTGCTTCTGAAAAAGCTGTTTGTTCATTACAATTCGATAATATAAGATAACATGATCGATTTTTAAATGTCGAATTTTTTTATTGTGATATTAATCTATTGAGATAAAAAAGAGAAAAACAAAAAAGCAAAAAAAAAAAAAAAAATTCATCGATTTTACCGTTGTAAGAGCACCCCAACCACCAGGCCATGAGTAATTTTTATATGGATCCGAAGGATATGTCTTTAATGGAGTTCTATCGCCATGTCGGAAAACCTGTAAAAGAAAATAAATTATATAGGAATCATGCGTGAGGATAATTGAAATCGTTTGAACCGATTGAATCATTAATAATACAGGATATAACATGTGCGCATGTGTCAACATTAAAAAAATACTTACAAATATCACCTGTTGAATAGTATCGTCCTTGAGGGATGATGCAAACGCTGTATATGCAAAAAGTATCGTACCGATAATTAAAACGAGAAACACGAGAGTCGTGCAAATTCCACGCTGTTGAACTTGGCATGATTTCCCATAAGACGTTCTCTTTCGATCCATGTTACTATAAATTCAAAAATGATCGAAATATTGAAGTTATGGTAGATCCATTAGTTGATGATTATTAAAGTGATCTAATGATTCATATATTTTTCATTTTAATATATTTTTTTTTCATTTAGAATTATCTTTTTATAATAACAAATATCAGAAAAGTAATATAGTTTTTTATTGAAAAATAATTTTTTTATTTTATTTGAAAATTTTATGAATATTATGTGACAAAATTTATTTTTTAATATTTTATATGACTTACAATTAGATAATTTTCATAATCACGTCGGCTCATATCTTTAAAATCGACTTGTGAAATTGCGCGCGAAATGATTTGAAATTAGTCTTGAGGCGTGTCCTCATGAATGTTGTTAGCGCCCATGTGTTGTTATGTGTACACTTTCGAATTTAAATTAATCGGAACGAGGCTTCATTTTTATATCTTTTGATATGAGGTTAACTAATTAAATAATATGCAAAGTATAATAATAATATAATATATTATTATTATTATTATTATTATTATATATTATATATATTATTAAGACGATTGGAATAATTTGAAAAAAAGAAAGTTTTTAAAAACGGGAAAAGAAAAGGGAAGGAATGATAGCTTAATGGTCATAAACATGTTCGTAAAATGTTTAAAATGTTTAAAACGTTCAAAATGTTTAAATGATTGAATATGTCGTACTTTGTTCGAAGCAGTAGTACTGCTGAACTATTAAGAAATAGTTATTTTAAGGATAGCCTCCGAACAATAACAGTTCGCTTAGTCTACGAACCTACATCTTGTGTTTATTTCCTTGTTTTCTTTGTATTTAAAAAATTACGAGATTAATTAGAGAAATTATTTAAGATTCGGACAATGATGAACAATATTTTATTTATCCTTAACAAACGTCCAACGAATTCACACGGTCAATTAATTTCGATGATAATATGTAATCCTTCAGAGGAAGTTTAAGATCATTAAGGATGCAAACGGGACCATCAACAATTAATATTTTAATCCTCTTTTTTTCTTTTTTTAAAACCTAATTTATATCCCTACATTTTAGATCTATTCTATAATCTAGTTTTATAGTATTAACGGCGCGAGGGTAGGTAAACAACCGTCCATTTGAGAATAAAACTATCGCGAGTTCCTCTCGAGAGTATTTCTCCTTAATGAACGGACACTAGGTTTGAGAGTAACTATCTATATGTAATAAATATGTGAAATAAATTCAATGTTTGATAGATGAATTTAAATATTATCTCATGTTTATCTTAACACAAATATTACTAAATTAATAAATATAAAAAATATAAAAAATATTACTAAAACAGGTAAATATAATAAACAGATATAAATAAATCTTCTTCAATAATAATATCCGATAATAAAATTTTTTACGAGAATGTTAGTATCTATCTGAGAATAAGAATTCTCTTAAGTTATTTTTAAAAATTCTCTTAAGTTGCTTTCAAATCAATTAAAATAATTTCGAGTACTTTATTCAGAGTATCGCAAGAAATTTTGAAATAAACGTTTACCTTTATACTTACGTGATTTCCACTTCGGTATCAGGATTCGATGACGTACTACTATCGCCGATGAACCAATCGCTACTATTTGATATCACTTGTTCGGTGTTATGTATGAAGGCTATAAGTAGCGATTAATTGCTTCAGAAATGGAGTAGATGTCTCTGGTTACGTATTGAATATATACAACGCTTTATCTACAGTATTTTATTTGCTATAGCTCTTTTAATCTGAAATGCAAATTGAAATATATTTTTTTTTTCTTCGTCATTATGTGAAAAAAATTTTTTCCTTTTCTCTTTTTTCTTCTTTTGTTTTCTTTTTCTTTTTCTTTTTGTGGATGAAAAGAAAGCACCTTCAGTACTTTGTAAGTCTGTGTCAATAAGGAGACAGACTTACTACTAATTAATTTTTCCGCCATATATTCTCGAATAGACTGCCGACGCGTATTTTCTCTGCTAGACATTACAATTGATTAGAATAAAGTAGAAATTTTGAGATCTGTCGATCTATTTCAGTAGCGTGTCCTCTTGTTAGATCTTAGATCCTTTCCTTAGTTGATAGATAGAATGCATTCTTTTGTTTTTTATTTTTTTTCAATTTTTTTCTTTATTAGTTAAATTTTCATTTATATATTACCGTTTCTACATACGATAATTATCATTTATATTATATTTAACATACGATAACATTTATAATTATGTTACGAGATAAATGAAATTAAAATCATTGAACTTGAAAATTTACTGATTAAGAACAGGTATATGTAATCTTTGATGACGTACGCGATGTCAGTTATTATCAGCTATGATATGAACGATGAATCCTTAACGAAAAAAGAAGAAAAAGAATTATAAGCGTTGTTACATCCAATAATTCGAGTAAAATATTTCGATGCACTTGAGTACGATCATGATTATATACTGAATGGTATTTGGAATTACAAGGTGCTGTGACTAACTTAAGCCCGTATTACACGTTGCGTATTTACTGTGTATGCATTGTGTACCAAGCAAGTTAAGTTTACAAATGTTCGCGGTGACTTGAATTAAACGTATTCAATTCTATTCCCCAAGAATGTGCTATTTCTCGGTAGTCACGTGACCTAATAACGGCATGGTTGATACATAACACGTGATCCGACTTAAATGTTACATATGTGAGGTTATAGTGTCACCTTGTAGTTATTCTTTTTTTTTTTAATCGTGGCCGATTGAAAAGAGAGAAATTACTCAATATGTTTCAAATTCCATCGCTACTAGCAGATATGTCTGATAAAATAGTAGCGGTTACTTGACGATTATCCAGTCGCTACTATCAATGACGACGATAAGTTCGCCATGTTTCACACGGCCTTTATTGGTGTTCGTTACACGTATATATGTATATATGTATGCATGTACGTAAGACGAGAATGTCGCAAGTCTATCTAGTTATAAGATTGTATGTCGAACCCATTTGCCGATAAGTAAGTTTTCTACATTATCGATATTCTTTATAGCATGCTCGGACCTAAAGTTCCTAGATGATTCTAAAAATCAATCGCTCCTTTTCAAAAGATATCAGGTATAGTAGTTTTACAAGTTGGACTTGTAAAGTTTTACGATCTGGGAAAAAAGAATAAAAAAGAAAAGAATTGACTTAAAATGTCTCAAAAAGAAATATTTTAATGATTTTTAATATCATCTAGGAACTTTTAAGACGATCCTGTATATTTCTGTTCTTTTTTTTGTCCTTTTTTTCTAAGAAGTATCAATAATTATTATAATTTTAATTTATGAAGATATACTTAAATATAAAGAAAGAAATGTTTGAAACTATGCGGATGCATTAGGGCTTTTTTTTTTTTTTTAATTGAAATGAATAACATTCAGATTAAACACATTTTTGAGTTAAAGTAACATTTATTTAGACGATTTATAGAGGCGAGAAACATGTCTTTGTTACACTTATCACAACAAATATTAAACGAATACTTTTTACTTTATCCTAATAAAAAACGAAAAAGGATCTTTTGTGTGCGACAATTATTTTAGAAGAAAATACATAACTGATAATGTATGTAATCTATCTCTGTGTGTTATACATATATATACACACACACACACACACATATATATATATATATATATACATGTAGTAGATCTTTTTGATTAAGAAAATGCATGCTATTGACGAAAGATAAATACGATAAATATCTACAAATGTTACATAATACTGGGGAGAATACGATCGTATGATCTTTTTAATCGACGACATCAAGATATTTAAAAATAAATTGCTTTATATCTCTGTTATTTCTAAATCTAAAATAGATCAAAAAATGAGGGACAAAGCTGCTCTTGGAAGTTGTATAATTTAATAATAAATATAAATAATATAAATAAACCTATTCAGTGCCGAACAACGATATATTGATATATGGCTAACACGTGTGAAAATTGCTAATGATATTTCGTTATATGTTTGTCATACTATGCGCTTAGGTTTGGAGAACAATTTCTAAGCGATTAGATGCATCATATAATTTAGAAATCATTTCCATTTCAGCCATTGTCGTTTATGTAAACCTAGTTATAATATTATCAACTTTATATCGCTATGGATGATACGGAATTAGTTCAATTCATTATTAATGAAAGTAGTTACAATGATGAAGAATTAATATTCGTATCAAGATTGCTGGATCACGTAGAATAAACAATGAGAGTGAAAGCGTTTCAGAAATTTGATGACGATAATAATGAAAATGACGACTCTTACATTTTCATGATATTAATATAAATAATGATAGTTGATATAATTCTCGTCTATTAATCTTGGAAACCTTTGGTCCGAAACACTTAAAAAATTCAAAATAGAAACAAAAACAAAATAAAAGAATAAAAAGAAAAAGGAAAAAAACAAAATGTTTACAATTTTTTTTTGAACTTTTCGAACTACATCAGTTTGACTCGGGACTATTTGTTCAGGCTCAATTTTTTTGTCGACACTGAAAGGGATATATATATATATATATATATATATATATATATATATATATATATGTATATATATATATATATATATATGTATATATATATATATATATATATATATATATATATGTATATATATATATATATCTACACATTTATATATATATCTACATGACTAGAGATAAATCATCGTTCGTGCTTTTTGGTAAATTGTATTATAGCGAGCAAGAATTAAGATAACGGAAAAGTGTCAACTATACTATTAAGGAAAAAAAAGAAAAAGAAAAGAAAAAACAAATTCTATTCGCGCGCTACGTGTCACGTATTATGTATTAAATAAGAATTAAAATAAATATTACAGATTAGAAATCAAATATCTACAGAAAGAAGAAATATCGCGGAAACGTGCGTCAAAGTGCGAAATATGTAAAATTCTAAAGAGGTCTGACACAATCGTCTGACACATTACGTGAACAAGTACGTTGAACAATGTCGTCATTATTATTATAATTATTATTATTATTGTTAATATTATTATTGTTATTATTATTATTATTTGCGTTAGAAGTTCACTTTACATCCTCTTATATTCGACTTATCTATATTTATTCCGAACGGCGCCTTCGTCCTGGACCACCGGCGTAATTCGCGGCTGCGAGACCCATCAAATGTTTCGCTGCTTGAGAACCACTAAATCCACGGCTCAAACCTAAGTCCAGTCCGCGTTTATTGCTAAAAGATAATTATATAAAAGATTAGTTTCATCATCAGAATAAAAAAATATTATCTGATCGACATGTTTAAATTATATCAATATAACAGATACAGACTTTTCGAGTTCTTGATTTCGCATGATCGAATGACGAAGACGGGCGAGCATATCAAGGAGAGCTTCAGGATCTTCTTCTTCTAATTGATTCCAATAATTTTGTTGTCTGTAAAGTATACAATGAACGGTGATTCGATAGTAAAAATAATAGTAATAGTAATAATAATAATAATAATAATAATAATAATAATAATAATAATAATAATAATAATAATAATAATAATAATAATAATAATAATAATAATAATAATAATAATAATAATAATAATAATAATAATAATAATAATAATAATAATAATAAAAAATATATAAATTATAATTGGTTGGAGAGAAAGCATCGTTGATAGATCGATTATTTTCTAGTGAGATGCATTCTTTAACTCTCTTTCTCTCTCTCTCTCTCTCTGTCTCTTTCCCTGTCTCTATCTCTCTCTCTCTCTCTCTCTCTCTCTCTCTCTCTCTCTCTCTCTCTCTCTCTCTCTCTCTCTCTCTCTCTCTCTCTCTCTCCCCCTTTTTATCTATCTTATTGCAATGATGAAGAATGTCTTCTAAATGAACTCGATATTAGTACTTGAAAGATAATAGGTTTCAAACATATTCCTTTAAATAAAATTTACCTCGACTCATTCTTTTTCTCCATCGACTTTATTGGATGCTTATCTTCAAATCAGAGAATCACTTTAAAAGAGACCATGATGATTTATGAAAAGAAACTGGGTTAAACCATCTATTGCAAACAGACGCATCTCTCTTTTCTCTTAGTTTATCGTCGAAGGATATCGAATGATCGTCCTACCGGCGAGGCAATCATGATATCTATTAGACGAATTAGCTCAATTGTCACAGTTGTTCGTTATCCATTTACACTATCTTTATTCCCTCTCTTTCTCTCTCTCTCTCTCTTTCTCTCTCTCTTTCTCTCTCTCTCTCTTTCTCTCTCTCTCTCTCTCTCTCTTTTTATTTCTCTATAAACGATACTTAACCCTTTGACATACAAATAAAAAGAAATTTGACGTGCCCGAAAAATATTACAGTGTATATCATTTCCCTAAAATGGATTCATTTTAAACAAAACAAAATCAACATATGAGTGAAATAATTGAATAATTTAATAATGTACTGTACAACGTTCACTGGAGACCGTTCCTGACATCTCGGAGACGTCTACAATAGCACATGAAATGAACGTCTCCCAGAAGTCATTGTATGTCAAGGGGTTAAGAGAAAAGTTATCACTTTCTTTTCTATTTTGTACAGTGGCGAGCAAAAGTTTTTGATCGATTTTAAAAGTCTATTATTCTTTTTCGAGATTTTTCTTTTCTTTTTTTTTGAAAGCTAATTTTATCTTTGAAATTGTATGATTACATGTTTAGTTTTTGTTCATCCAGTATCTATTTGTAAATTTTGTTTAAATTGTAATACTTACGAAAACGGAGCAGCATCCGCCAGAGGACTTGACACCACCATAACGGTGATGGCTATCAGGATCAAACAGGAGATTGCGATTTGTCTCTGCATCTTCGGTCAGGGATAAATCGTTCACTTGCCCTAAAAGAAAATTACGCGATTTTATGTATGTGTTTGTGTGTGTATGTGTGTATGTATGTACTGAGAAATTTTAATGATAATGTCTGAATATTTGTAATTGTTTATAAATGAAAGACAAAGATTTTTATAAACGAAAGACAAAGAATAATAATCTCAATCGAAATTTTCTTTATATCTTTTCAGATATTTTATATTTCTTGAAAAATATTTGTATGCACTCGTAACTAACCATAAAAAATCGATATGTAAATCTGTTATGTGCGTTTAGAAAACAAAAAAAAATAAGAGATTTATATATTCGATATACAAGAAAAATTAGAGATCTATTAAGATCTATGATCTATGATTTTGATAATTATACTAACATACTTTTCGTCATGAATATACATATGAAAAATTCGACAATTAGATAGATATTCATTGTGTATAAAATTTAATATATATATATATATATGAGAAAGAGAGATAATAAATAAAAATGAAATATAGAAAATGATAAAACCCGTGCAATGACTAATTTGTATTGTAATAATGTACCAAATTGCAATCGATCCAAGTAAAATAGGTGCAAATCGTCCTTAATGAGAGAGCAGAGGATAAAAGCAAAATATAATAATCGTTGAAGTCATTGAAATGAAAAATGTCTTTGACGAAGCGCTGATTATTTCACGAAATTCATTATGCTTTCATTTATGACTTTTGTGGTTTATAATTTGATAATATTGAACTATCGTATAATAAGAAAAAAATCGAACGAAAATCTTTTTAATTTTAAATTTCAATATTTTATCAAATAATAAGTTGAATTTTATTAGAAAAAAACGCGTTTCCGTTCGATAGTACACGAATGTAAAGTTTTCAAATCTTTAGTTTCAAATAAAGAGTCTTAAATTAAATTGAAACTTAAAAAATATTACTGCATTTTCCGATGAATTATTTATTCGAACATCGAGATTCCCTTAATACATGTGCAAGTATATATTAATTATTTTTCTTATATTATAAATGGCGAATTAAGAAAAAATAATCTAACAATCATCCTTTGTTTTTTTCTTTTCTTTCTATTGTCTCATCTTGTCCATATTTCTACATTTAATATGAATAGTATTTAGTAATATTAGGGGAAAATAATTGCTCTTATGATATTTCACACTATTGGTACGATAAGTTTTTAATAATTAACGAAAGGTATAATAGTGTATGTAAGGACAAAGGAATTACAAATGTACCTATATAAATATTTGCATCAGATTAATATTACTTGTAATATTACATATAAATGTAATATCAATGCGATGAGATAGTATATTGAATAAAAAAAATTATTTTTCTGATCTTTTTTTTTATTATGATTTTCTTTTCCTTCTCTTTTAGAATATCATGTTTTTTATTCGGTAGGAGTATATATATATATTTATATACATATGTATATATATATATATATATATATATATATGTATGTATGTATGTATTTATACTTAACTCGTTTTCGTGTTACTCGGTTTCGAATATTTCTTATGTGGACATAAGATTAAGTAAAGGAGGGAGTTAAAAGAAGCAAAGGAGAAAATAGAGTTGTACGAGATGACGGTGAGGAACGAGACAATACGTTTTCCACGTCGTTCAGAAAAGTCATTCCAATGTTTTCAAAGAACCTGACTAACAAACTATTCAACTCTGTTCTAAGTATCTGAAAGTTCTTTTATAGATTTTAAGTTTTATCCATCGCTTACATACATATGTGAAACTCTTCTCAAATATGGGGTTGACCAAAAGTTCCTAGGTAATTATAAAAATCGATTACTCCTTTTTGAGAAATTTTACGTTTATTTTTATTTTCAGATTATGAAACTACAAGTTTGAATAGTTTTTTACAATTTGAATAAAAAAAGGAAAATTAGATTAGAAAGTTTCGAAAAGAGAGTAATTGATTTTTATGATCGTACAAAAACTTTTAGCCCAAACTGTATAAAAGAACGAAATGCGGAGAACTCTCGGATGAATTACAAAAGATTCAATCGATCTCTAATGTTTTAATCAAATTTTCAAATATCTTCTTTTCATTTTCAATATTTTTTTTACCGTGTAAAATGTAACACGAATTAAAGAATTTTTCCAACGTACATACTTTCATCGTTCGTTCGATTAGCATTTTATTACGATGCAATCACGTTGCCTTGAATAGATTCGTTGTAGGAGTAGATAATTGGACTCATCGTTCTCGATAATCGATGCTGATGTATATTTATATGTATATGTATATACGTTTACATACATGTACACTTATTTATATGCAAGAAAGAAATATAAAAAAGAAATTATCTATTTCGGTGTAAAAGAAGATCCTATTTCTCTTAGTTCGTTTTTCTTGTAGTAAAAAAAATATTCAGAAAATATTTATATATAAATATATAATATATAAAAAGTGTATTATATATAATACAAATAAAAAATTGTATATATATATATATATATATATATATATATATATATATATATATGTACATAATAATACAAAGTGGGTAATAATTTTGATCACGTTCTTTCTATAGATATAAAGTATTGTTCTCAAAATATGTATAGTACGAATAGTGCTATAATACTAGATTTTCTATTCCTTATTTTAAATAAACAAAAAAAATTTTAATGATTTCGTTAAAGTTATCACCTTATTATGAAATAAAAGAAAGAAAGTCAATTTTAAAAATTATTAATAAAATTGATTTTATTATATCGATATTATTGCAATATTTAAATAAATAAAGATTAATGCAAACTTGAAAACGATACTTTTTTCAAATCTTTACGATTTTTTGTTCCAAAGATATTCGCTTCGAAAAATTTTCATTCATAATTCGTATACACCTGTTGGTAGAAGCAGTAGTAGTAATAATAGTAGTAGTAGTAGTAGTAGTAGTAGTAGTAGTAGTAGTAGTAGTAGTAGAAGTAGTAGTAGTAGCAGTAGTAGTAGTAGTAGTAGAAGTAGTAGTAGTAGCAGTAGTAGTAGTAGTAGTAGAAGTAGTAGTAGTAGCCGGGTCTCCTAACTTTTCGAAACTTATATAGGTCAGTGTGTCACCGAACAAATTTGAATGAAAATTATATATGGGTCAATTTAAATGTCTTTCATTTACATAAGAATATCTCCGAAATTAAAAGTCATAAGAATCAAATATCGTTTTAAAAATTAGAACTTTCTCTATCTTTTTTGATGTATTGTTAATAATTAATTAAGAATTTGTTATAAACAAATTTGTACTGAAACTAAATTCATTTTATTTTGCTAAAAAAAGAAATAAATTTAGATTTTCGACTGATTTATAAAATTACGTAAATTAATAAATAATTTATACTAAATTATTTTTTTACATATATAATTAATATATATATATATATATATATATATATATGTATATCACTATATATGTATATCACTATATATGTATATGTGTACCTATATACAACGATGATAAAAGTACGATGAATAGATTATTCCATAATCGAATGTTAAGATGCTTTTACACAAACAAGATAACAACGTAGTTTCATCATAGGTTAACGTTAGAACGTGTTGTAACGAAAAAAAGAAAAGGGAGAAAATAAAAAAGAAGAAAAAAGAGAAGAACGAGCGGAGGGTGTGAGAACGACGCTATATTTTCATTACCCGACTTATATTCTAGCTCGTAACTGTTCGACGTGATTCGAAACCGTATCAATTCTTGTATCATATTGCGTGAAATAAAGTCGGAAAATTGTGAATTCGAATTGTCAAACACGTTCCATTTTTATAGGAATAACTGTGTGCTTTCTTTGCATACCTATATAACGCGGAAACTATGATAAAACATTAAAAATACATGGACCAATTTTTTCTTCTTTTTTTTGTGTATGTGTATGTATATGTGTATGTGGCTCTTTTTTTTCATTATAGTCATAGATTTTTCGAAAAATATAAAATGACACTACTTTGATGTACTGAGGACACACATAGTTAGCAACTCACAAAAAATTGAATAAGTCACAAATATATGCTTATAATGATATACTCGTTGACTATTAATAATAAAGATATGATTTTCAATTGAAAATTACTTTGCAATAATTTGGACATGTAAATTAAAAGCTATTATACATTTAATTTGAAAATCATTTCAATGTAATGGAGTTTCACTGAGTACGTTATACTTTTATCACATGTCGAATTTATCAATAATGTATTTTTCATTGTTAAAGAACTAATAATAAATATTAACTCAATTCTATTTAGAGATTGCAATACATTAACACATCTTGCGATGTCAAAAAAAATTTTCTATAGAAAGTTCTTGCGATCATGTGTACATGTATATATATATATATATATATATATATATATATATATTTTTTTTTTTTTTTTTTTTCTTATTGTGTAATAAAGTCGAGGGACGAAATATTATTAAAGACATCTATATCGTATCCCATCGGTTAAACCTGAGATTATAATAGTAATACGTTTTACGAGCTGATCCGCACAATTTTCTTACGTTTGTTCAGCCTACGATGACAATATTATAGCTTTTCCTTAACTTATGTTTTGATAAAGAATATTAGTTCTTAGGGAGGATCTCAAGAATTCGACGGGAAGCAGAAAAAAACATACACTGTTATCTTTTTCCTTATCCCATCCCTTATCCCTTTCCTTTCATTTTTTCTCTCTTTCTCTATCTGTCTCTCTCTTTCACTCTCCCTTTTACACATACACACACACACACTTTATATACATATATATACACTTTTGGCCTTGGTTGTGTTATAACTACGAAGTAAACGAAGTAAATGATAAAAAAAAGAAAAAAGAAAAAAAATGTGGTGAACGTCCATTTCTAAATAAAAGGGTTAAAATGGTATTGTGCGTAGATTAAGATGAGGGACAAAAAATGTATTTCTGTTTTCAACTGGATCATTCGAAAGAGACGACAAATTTGATATACAAAAATAAGATGAATGAGACTAAAGAAAACAAA